ACACGAACACTTCGGAAGGGCAGACGAGTGATGTTGCAGGTCGGGCTGGTGCACGAGTCCAACCATGATCACTCGGCAGTGCTTGCCTCAGTTTGCCTACAGCTCCGCGAGTTTCGTGGCTGTTTCACAGTCTGAATTGCATGAACTGTAAGACGTGGCTTTTCGATCCGCCCGACGATCCTCTGCCGCTTCCGCAGATCGCAGGACGAGCGGGGCAAGGCACCTGTATGTTATCAAATGGCCATGTTCGTGGGGGTAAGCGCTTTGGCAGGTGAGGTGCCGCGAGTTGACCCGGTGTCTTCACCCGGCAAGCTTCTGCAGGCAGAAGCTTTCACGAGTAGTTCAGGGTTCTCAAAGTACCAACAGCTTTGCCAGGCCATGCCGCGCTTCCTGCAAACCACCTCGCAGGAGGATGGGCTTCGCGGCTGCAGAAGAATCAAAGGATGCGCTTTGTCCTTTCTAAAAGACTTGACGACTTCAGCTGAGGCCAGACCTACCCATCATCCTCCCAATGGAGAGCAGTGGTCAGCAGTGCTTGGACGTCCTGACCTGCATTTGCGCTGTGCTGGCCGTCGTCTGCTTTTGCGGCATCATTGTCTGTGTGGTTGTTGCCTTGGCAGTGTGCAATTCATCTCCGCCTAGCTTCCTTGGCTTCGTATGTGCCTGAAAGATCGTCCTGCTCAGGTTATGTTAATTTTCAATGAGGCGATGCCATTTGCCTGCCCGTCTCATCACGTGCGGAACTTAGCGAGAGCATGACGGCGCAAACAAACAGGGCTGAACACATTTGATTGACAACTTTGGCTTTGGTGGCGTGGCTGGTGCGCGTTGTTGTCTGAGGTCGTTTGCCAACTTTTGGAGCATTCGGCGAATCCACAATTTCGTGCTACAGCGTCATGGCGAATTTGATTCAAGTGGTGTAACATCAAGGTCAATCATCAAAGGTTGATCTCGCGTGCAGTGTGTGTGTGTGTGTGTTGGAGGACATGGTCATCGGCTGAGCAAGTAGTCATGACTTACTGAAACGATTGCATATGGTTCACTGCCACGCTTCACAGTGTTTATCTGTGAAAAGGTTCTGTCGGTCTTCACCCTGTGTGTCGTGTGCCTGCCCCTGGCATTGGCTTCATGTCAGGGGCAGTGCATGTGCCTGCAGCTCAGCATTTGGTTTCAGTATGCATACTTGTTGCCAGCTTGGCGCCGTGCACCTGCCACTTGTGCACACAGACATCCACGCAGGATTCATGGGCAGTCCTTGCATGACCGCTTGCATCTCTACTGAAGCCGCCTGAAAATCAATAGACTGTCACTTTGAGAGCAGGTGCTCAGACTGCACTGTGCAGAGATGTGCAGAGTACAATCATCTGACTTGAACAGGCTGAAGCTTGAGTACATGCTGGAATATGCTGGAATGCTGGAGGCTTGCAGGTGGTTTTTCGAGATGGCGGGCTCGTTTCGCAAGCAAAGCGCTGTCGTGATGCCTGCTTCAAGCGTTGCACACTGAGAGGGACCAGTAGCTGTACTGCACAGCTTTGACACCGGGTTTGCACAAAGGTTGTGCATGCTCTCACATGGATCAGGTGGCAAACATGATGCACCTGCAGCTTGTTCCTCAGGCTTGGCGGCAGCCCCGTCGGACATAGCAAGGCAAGCCCTTTTCTGTATGGGTCAGAAAGCGTGATATTTGTGACATTCCGTGACGGACAAACTTGTTTGAGCATAAGTGCGCTGTGTCACTGCACAGTATTTTGCTGGCAGTCTGTTCCAGGAGGGTGCGGTCGCTCCGCTCACTGAAGAAGCCATCCAGCCGTGTGCACCCAAGCCAGGAGGGACCAAGGCGCTCAGATAGAACGACAAGTGTAGAGTAGACCAATCTTGCGCACATGCGGGATGGTACAAAGCCTCAAAACCCGGAGGCAGCTCCCGACGGTCTGCTTCGGTGCCCAGGACAATATGTAGCTGGTTTGGTTCGACGATGAACCGTAGCTTCAGAGGACATGACTTTCCGATCGGAAAGCTTTCCGCCGGTCGCAAGCCTGCAGGACTTCAGCAACTTCGCGATTGTTCCCGTTCCGCAGCTGTCCCGCATGGGGCACAAAACCAAGCAGGTGGCTGAAGGCAGGCTTCGGGTGTTGCAGTGGATGCTTTTTTTTGGTGGCAAGATCTGTGCAGTAATTCTCACGCATGATCCTCGTCGCATGCAGGTTTTCCCCGACGTTGGTGTCAGATGGCAACTCTGCCTTGTCGGGAAGTGGTAGAGCTCAGCCCTTTTGAGGGCGAGGGTGCCGAAGTTGCCTCTGGGTTGCAGAGAGTGTGCCAGCAAGCGGCCGCTTTTGCAATTGTCAGCGGCTTCTGCCGGTGAAGCCTTCAGAGCAAAGTGGCATGATGCTGTGTTGGTTGCAGGCATTTTCAGGCGCATGTCTACCCTGAGTAAGACTCAGAGAATCTGAGGCAGCATTAGTGCTTAAAGACGCTACATGGCATCAGCCCCCGCGTTGCGAGCAGGTGCGACTTCAAAGCAGACGTGCAGTGCAAAGTATTTGGATAGAGGGCACAGGTGAAGAGAGCAACCTTTGACACCGCAGGTGCTTCGTGTTCAGAATTCCAGCGCCTGGGCAGCCTACAACACCCGCAAAGCTCAGCTACTCTCACGGCGCAGCTGGTCCGGTGAGGTTCCAACTTCGCTCAGACCAGTTCAGCCATGGTTCTGTTGAAGCCAGGATGATGTGCCGCTGACAGCGCTGGACCGTCTGAACTTCTGCGCGGACGAGTTGGACAGCCGTCACTGGGACCCAATGGGCAGCCTAAGATATCATGCAAGCGGTGAGTGCGCAGGCCTCAATGAGCAATTTCTTCTCTGCGGTACGACTGTGGAGCTTGCCGAGTATGCACAGACCACCGGAGAGGCCCAGCTGAGGCTACAGATGGCAGGGGGTATTTAGAACAGCGCGGTGCCCAGAGGACATGGAGAGCACCGTCTGCATAACAAGCCTCAAATCCGGAACCATAGGAGGCCTTGCACCCTACTCCAGCTGTTAGCTCCAAGAGGTGGTGGCCAGCCCTGAGTGCCCACGTCATCAGCTGCAGTCCCTGGGCGGCGGCGTGCACTTTTGCTCTGAAGGCTTCTTGGCCAAAGCTCCAGCAAGGGACGAGGTCTTGCGGTTTCCAGAGAAGCTGTCGGGTCTGAAGATTTGAAAGCTTGGCGTAGGGTGCTTCGCGCCTGGCTTGGCTTTTGCTCCAGCTGTCGTCGTTTGTGATACCCAAAGGCTTCATCGCACACGAGCAGGCCACCGATGCTGGCTATAGCCGAGAAACTTGGGCTAGACGAAAGGGTCAGATATGCTCGTACCCTAAACCATTGCGGGATAGAGGCCGAACTTGGCGTTTCCTTTCAATTCTCAAGAGCGTCAAGAAATGGGTGAACGCTTGAAAGCCTTGGACCTTGATAAGGACGGCCTGGAAAGTGCTTGGGCCGTCTTGGTCTGCCGCGTGCTGGTCGGCAGGCCACCACAGCCTTTGACTTGTTGGTGGTTCTGGGGTTTAGGGACTGCAGAGTCAAGATACTAAGGTGTAAGCATTGTAGTGCGGGGATTTTCGGAAATTGCAGAGCTTCCAAGTGAGTAGTCTTTCCCGTGAGGCCGCTGCGCCACAGTGGCCGCCGGGGCGGTCCACGTTTGCACAGGGACGCAGAGGGTTTGGTCAAGTGACCACAAGGCTATAACCTGGAGTCCTTTCATGGATCTAGATGACACATGACAGCCTTCGCAAAGGCTGCCACAGAAGACGTGGAAGGATCTTTGGTGCGTCCTAGTTATGTGACAAGAGCCTTGACTAGCGTAAGCTAGCAGAACAGGCTTTCATAACAGCAACGACTGGGGCCTTCTGATGTTATACTCCTGGACCTTAGGTTCCCAAATAGGATCCTTTCAGCCCAACGAAGAGCCCACTCCTCAGTTTCTGTGGCATTGCGAGGACTGGGAAAGTGGTCGCTTCGGGAGTCTCCTTCTTGGCTGCTTGGATCCGCAGATAAGGCTGGAAGGAGGTCAGGCAGTTCGGAGGAGTAGTGCTGAGGCAGCTAGAGGCCTTTTGCCGTGCAGAGGTGACAACACTTGTCGCACGGAGATCTTCATCCCGATGGATGCCATATCGAGCGTATACCCTGAATACGCTGCTTGACTCGATGAAGATTAGGAGCATACTGGCAGTGGAGAGCTCCCTGACAGACTGTGGAATAAAGGTTTGCTGTCTCCCGACTGTCCTTATCCAGCTGTGCACTTTCTGAGGTGATCATCCTTCGGTGACCCATGAGGTATGGTCATGCCATGTCTGTCTGTTCAATGTTTCAGAGACAGGGACTTGTTCGGGCTTCGTGTGGTTGCTGGTCCGGCTGGACTCACATTACGACACGCGCCGCATTGAGTGCTGGCAGGCCTGACATTGGCCCTCGGCATTGCGACACATCTATGGTCGTCCGTTCTTCACCAGGTTTAATCAAACACAGCATTGCGAGCACATCAAGGCAGGTTTTCCTGCTCGCGGAGTTCCCACATGTACAGAGGCAGAGATGGGAGATTGTATCCTGCAAGGATCTTTAGGCAAAGGCCAGGCATTCTCTTTTACAGCGAATGCCTGTCCTGTCATTTTTGGGTAGTTCTGAGAACCCATTAAATTTCCATTTTTTGTGAACTCCTGACATAGAGGGGCAGCAGTTATGTATCTATTGTGAGTCAGTCTTTACCATGTGAGCCCTTGGAGTTTGGCTGAGCTTCACACACACGATGCAGAGGCATCTCGTGGGGACCCAAAGAAGGGCTCCCACTGTTCGGGGCTCCAAGCCTTGACGTGTCATAGTTTGGAGACCTCGCCAGAACAAGGGTAGGCTGTCCGCTTCCCAAAGGGCCAGCGGGTGGCTGGCCCAAGCTAGTGTGAGCGTGGGTTTGGACATGGAGCGTCTTGGATCTGCTTCCCCGGCTCACTCTCGTGTTCTCGTCTGAGGGATCTTTGGTCCCGCGGAGCAGAATGCCGTTTTAGAAAACGCATTGGCTGGTCACATCATAGACGAGCCAAGCGCCTTGTTTGGTCTTGCAAGTGCTTGATTGTTGGTCTGAGCATGGAACGTTGTTGTCATTGGCAGCTGGACGGCCTCTGCAAGCCACATAAACAAGCACGACTAGCGCCTCTGCACCGCCAGCTGCAAGACAGAAGCTCATGCATGATTTTGTCTCAGTGCCAGCTAACAGCGAGCTGGATTCTTTGACCAAGCCACGCTTTTCTGCAACAAGCCCTTCTGCGCCCCATGTTGAAGTCCGTGCACAGCCTCAGCACTTCTCTGGGTTTGCACCCGGTGACCTGGCTGGTGCCTTGTCTGAACATTGGAGTTGCTGCGAGGTTGAAGTGGCTGAAGTATGCTGAAGACCTCGCTTGTGCATGAGCCCAGCATCGAACTAAGGACTGGGTCTATGGAAATACAACTGTCTTCCGTTTTCCCAGCACGGAAGGACCCCTTGAGTTGTTTGTGCCTTCATGACTCAGCCACCTAATCTAACCTGCTGCTTTCACGGCTTTTGTCCTTCGCTTGTAGGACATGTCGCCCTCACCATAGATGATGGGCTGTGCCGCAGTGGGTCAGACAGCTCAATGATCACGGAAGTGCGGCAGCTATTGAAGGATTTGTGGATCTCTTTGGTCATCGCTTTTTGCACCACGCAAGACTGGCACACTAACTTTTTTAGAGGTGCCCTGCTTGGAGGAGCACAGCGCCAAAGCGACCTTCTTCCTTTGCTCTGACTATGTGGATGGCTTCGAAGAAGATGCCAAGGGCCTGCTTGCTGACGGCCACGAATTCGCCAACCACTGTCACACCCTTGGAGTTTGTCTAGTTTTGAGTCATGTTTCCAGAAAGCACTGAAAACCAGGTCCTTCAGATGGAGTGGACTATTACAACATGCAACCGGATGAGTTTGAAGCGGAACTTTTGAAAACTTCGCGAAAGATACAGGAGTTACTGGTCAGAGTAAGGGATCCATGAGTTCAAGGGTCAAGGGTCCTCCTGCAGCTGGTCCAGGGGGCGGCTGAGATGGCATCGGTGCTCGATGGTGTTCGTGTCCAGCATGTTTTGGTCTCCGTCATTCATCATGTAATATCGACATGAGCAATGGTTAATACTTGCGTATTTGGGGCAAAGACCTGTGAGATGTAGGAATCGCGCAAAAAATGGCACAAACAAGCCATGGAACCTCCCCAAAGGCGACAATCTAATACGGAACCATGACTGTGTGTTGACTGAACCCCAAAAGCCATACCTTCTTGTATCCTATGCCAAAACCTCCAACAGCGATAAGGACCCCCCAAGTTGTCCATGGCATCGAATTATACAAGGAGTTTCGGCGAACACTCGATATGTCGGCGGTTGATGCAGCTGTGCAGCAGCGGTGCAAGTGCAATCATGTAGCATGCAAGACAGGAGGTCAGCGGGGAAGTTCCCCGCTGGTTTCGCGCACCCCAGGGAAAGTTCCAGTCTCAGAGTTCGTTAAGCAGCGGCCTTCTTGATTCCTAGTCGGTTGCCGTGCAGCATGTGAAGGTATTCCGGCACCATGCACGGCGCCGTGTCAAAACATGGAATGCACCATGCCCTGGGCGATTGCTACTGCGATGACTGGGCTGTGGAGGATGCAGGGATGGGGATGAAGTAGCCTTCAGCCAACAACGGAGACATGCTGCTGAAGCTCAGGATTCTGAGTGGGTTGCCCGCACGATGCTGGCACAGGCGTGTCTCGTCAGTTGAAATGCCTTTGAAGGGTTCAGCGCGGCTGCGCAGTGCTCCGAAGGTGCGCAGCGGTTCGGTCCTCATTGCGCACATGCCAGAGCGAGGCTGGGAAAGACATTCGCCTGCAACTTGCACCCCGCGACTCCAGGGTTAAGGTCTTTTCTGTGAAGCTGTGCAGCCGACCTGACAGGCTTTCGCGAACACATCTTCCGGGATGCTAAGCTGCATTGATATCATTCTGCTGCGGCACCACCCTAGCCGTGGTGTGTCTTGATGAATCCAGGGCTCACTTGGTACGCGCAGACAAGAACATTATTTGGAAAACAACCTGCCTTGCCGTTCGCAAAGGCACTCGAGCTGATACTCCAAGGCGTGGGTCTTTGGCATCAATAGCGCAAATCTTCCGACCACCATGCATCCCAAGTAGATGTTTTGCTGCGGTGCCATACGGTCCACTTGATATTCCCATCCGAAACCGGTTGCGGATTGACTGATATCCTGGTCAGGCAACAAGACTGTTTGGCGATGCAAATTAATGCGAATAATCTTCGCGAGTCTGGTTCTCGCCGTGCTACAGAGTAATCGGCACATCGGTCGTTGATGCCGACAGTATATCATGATGAGCGGTCAGATTATTCACGCTGGAAGTGGCCAAGTCATGCACAACTTGCAAAATCTAATCTTGAAGCAATGGCATGCAAGTAGCGCGACAGTGACTTGAAGCTGCCGGGCCCATCCAGGCCTACGGCAGCGTGACCTCTCTGTGGTCACCCTCAGTGCATTGGAGGCAGGAGCGGTCTCTAAAACCTTTAATAACCGCTTGACTCAAGCTCGAATGTCAGACCCAAATTGAACAGATTCTTATGTGTTCATCGCGAATTCCGTGGGGTCTAGAAATCAAGTCAACCCAAGGCTATAAAGCCCTTAGCTAGCCCAGAGCAACACTGCGGAGGCCCAGGCAGTGCCTGTGCCGCGGGCGCTAGCGAAGCACCCGAATCAGCGAGGCAAGCTTGAGAATCAAGCTTGGGAGACTGGTATTTCCGGCCAATGTATGTCAGTGTATTGTGCTGTGAAACTCCCATGTGGGGAAGGAGGAAATGGATTATAGGGATCGGCGTAGAAGATTGCATATGAGCTGCTGTCAATACTAGCCTTACCAAGGGACCATTAAGGGTGGACATAGGGTCCCTCTTGCACTTTAGTATAGTCCCTTGTTTGTAAGGAACTCGCGTCCGCTAATTTTGATGTGGAATTTTTGATGGTAGCTCACATATTTTTTCTGGTTGCCATCGGCATGTTGATGAGCAGTAGCACATTAGGTGTTGCCATTTCCACTCTCTCTGAGGTGAGGAACTTCTCTGTTATTCTTGTAATGGTTTATTGAAACTCTGAATGAGCCAACTTTCACAGGGGCAGAAAGTGGAATAGGTTGTTGAGAACTGGGGCAAGTGTGCATATGTTGGCAGGGTACGCGGTCATCAGCCACCACAACTTTGGCATGGTGGATGGAGTTGTTTTCAGCGACAAGGAGCAGGCCTGCTCCCTAAGACTACTTAATGATCATTGCACAAAAAGTTGTAGCAATTGCAGAAACATCCAGCAGTGCGAATACCTCTGTTTGGACTGAACCAGTCGCATTTGGAACGACGAGTCTGCACAGGCCCTGGCTCATTGGAATCGCTTGTCAATATTCTCTGCTCACATGCTCCTGGGCATTCTGTCCGCAATCTTTTTGCGCTCACGTCTAGCCGGTTGGTTTGGATGCAACTGTGCTTCACCTCTGCAAAGATTTACCTGTTTGTTGGGTCCAAGGTCCTGATGGCACTGAGCTCAGGTACTATGGCAAGCGTAGTGGCAGAGACCACGAGATGAAGCAGTGGTGGGAGAACCATGCTGGCTAGTCGGCCAAAGTGATGTGCCTTTGCACTTGCTCCATGTGGCAAGGCCTTGAACTGCCAAAGCGTGTTTTCCACTGTTCTCCATACTCTGATAGAAGCATTTTCCATCCAAGTGGCGTTCGTGCTCAAGCATGCTGGCGGGCTCGTTGCGAATGCTGCGCACCCATCATGTTTGCGCAGAGTCTTGGATGCATGCCACAGAGAGATCAGGATTTGCGGTCAGTGCCACAAGGGCTGAAACCCTTGCATTCAGGACGGACGCATTCCCAGATAATCCAAGTCATCTTGGCCGGTATGGCGGGCCCGTACGCGGGAAGGAGCATGGTCGTGCACAGCTGGGAGCACTGCTCCTTCAAGAGCCTCTTTTTGGTGATCTGCGCGGCTGAGGAGTCTGGCCCATATCTTTTCGATGAAGAGGCCCGTGCTTCCATTCGTGAGTGTTGGTGGTCTGGTGTTGTTTGAATGTCATTGCTGAATTTCAGCTGTATCTTGAAGGCGGTGCGAGGCAAGCAGCACTGTGCTCTCGCGCCTCCCGCAGGCCTCCAGCCCGCACTTGGCGTGCACTTTCTTCCAGAAGAATCCGCTCCAGTGTGATGAGGTCGCTTCGGAGGAGTGCTTTGGTACCACTCGCTCTACTGGACGAATTTCCCTCCCCTCGGCTTCTTGGAAGAAGACTCCGCGGACAGCGATGTTGATGCCTGGCTTTTGTTTTCAGCTTGTGTTGGGAGCCTGGAAGTTGCAGAGGCTGGGGCTCTCTGAGAGTTATCAGGAATTTCGCGAGAGTCTCCTTGCTGTCAATCCGGATGGCCCGTTGGCTGATCAGCATCGCAGCTGCAAGTACGAACACATGTTCTCAGGAAAAAGTATTGACATCTCTGGAAAGGCAGGTGAAAGTTGTTGCTCAACAGGAGGGTTACAAAAAAGAGAGAAAGTCCGCTGCCTGGGGGTTCCGCAGAGGTTCGTCAGCTATGGTGCTGCACGTGAGCATCTGTGCCAACATGGGCGCATGCCGCAGGAGACCGTGTCATGTCAGTAGGCCAAGCCAGACAGAAAGCAGCCAGCACGGATCGTGGCGAGGAGCCATTGACTCTGTGGGTGGAGGTTATGCAGTATGATGGCGTGCACGACAGAGGCTGGCACTTCCCTCTTCAGGATGCTTGCCTGCAAGTACAGCACCGGAGTAGACTTGCCAGTGGCCGACATCTTTCTTTGTCTTCATCGCGGATGCTTCTCTCCAGGACTTCATTCCAAAGCGAGGGAACCACACCCCTTACGACATCCAGTCCAGACGCGGCTACGAGAACGGTGCCATGACACTAGGCCTCAATGCTGAGGATTTCTCTGATTCCGTGCAGCGCTGAGCAGAAGTCTCAAGAAGTCTCGAGTATCCGTAGCTCTGTCATCTACTGGGCAGGAACTAGTCTACTATTAAGCTCCAGGTGCTGCCAGTCAGTGACCTCTCTGTAGTGGTCACTGTGAGCGATGAGCCAGAAGGAACCAAGAGGTTGCGCAGCGTGGCTGCAAGACAAAAGCAGCTCTGGACACGTTAGAGGGTTGAACATCCCGTCAGACTTTCCTCAAACTTTGATCCCAGGAGCCTCGGAGGGCCACCAGTTTGCTTTGCTCAGCGTAGGAGGCCTGGGATGCTGTAAGGCAAGTGTAGTTGTGAGGCAATTCCTGGCTTTGCCGCAGGCTGGCCATTCCGGATCCGACGCATCGGAACTTTTGAAGGCAAGGCGGTTCATAAACCTGCTGGCATGGAAGGCCCTGTGATTTTTTTCAGGCCTGGGTCATGTCGGGCGGCTTGAGCTGCAGCTGGGCAGTGGGGAGTTCAGCGAGGAGGTAGCTTAGCAACATTTAGCAACGTTCGGATCATATGGACCGTAGCAGCTCCTGGCAGGTCCTTTGGCAGCTGCTGGAGGGTGGAAAGAGGGCACCCGGAGGAATCTGCGAAGAGGTGCATGGTAAGTAGGTGGTGTAGTTTTTTTTAATGGTATTGGTATTCGTGTTCTGATGCGATCTCAATGCTCTCGTGCTGCCGTTGTGGATCGTGGATGGATGGTTGCCTTTGGCACTCCTGTCGCTGCGGACGTTGCAGGCGACGATGACAAAGGCGACAAAGACGGTAGCTGTGGTGGTGATGGCAGCGGTAGCAGCGGCGGCGCTAGTGATGATGCTTGAGGTGGTGCTGATGTGGTAGTGATGGTGATGCTTTTTACTGACGCTAGCTTGCTGGCTTGAGTGGTCTCTTGCTTTAGCGGTAGCAGGGACCTGACAAGGTCTGGAAAGCTGCGAGCTGTTGATTGTGTCACAGGATAGGGGGGGGAGTGGGGTTCAATACTGATCCATTCCTGAGAAGTTGGGCTTTTTGGAATGCGAGGGAGGAGGGGAGGGCTGAAATAGTGTTTCTTTCAATGATGACAGTGGGAGGGGATCTCCTCATGACTTCATATGTTCGGTCATGGGTTACTTGACTTACTTGCATTTACTCCCCTCAGTACATGTGCTTGGCCATGGCAGGAGCAACATTATGCTAAGTGGCTACATGAAGCCCTCCCTACTTTCGGTAGTGTTGAGTACCAGTATATGCACATCTTACGAATGTGCGTCGCCTTGCATAGTACGCCATGGGGATGAGTTAGAGCACAAGGGCCTTTGACGAAACTGCTTTTACCCTTAGTCGTGCTGCCGTGCGTGAGTTCGTGTTGAGTCGACCAACCCTCCCCCTATGCCCCGTCTTTGAGGCTGAGGGATCATCGGGGAAGAGCTTCTGTTCTCGCGTAGTGGACTGTCTTGCCAAGTGTCCCATTCCTACGCAAGCTGCCCGGCTTGGCGTGAGGGGCCCGTGGACATATCTTTCCCCACAAGTACCCTTGCTCGGATTGAGGGGCCTGGGGCGTTGAACTCTGTGCCGTAGCCCCAACGCCGCATGCGGAGGGCCAACGAAGGCGAGAGGGAGTTTATGGGTAGGCTGGTGGGCACGCCAGGTCCTTGTAGTGCACATCACCCTTGCATGGTCGTGCTTTGCATGGCTATGGTACGAGTGAGAGCAGGTTGTTGCATCCGTGCCCCTTCTCTTCCTCCTCTAGTGTTCATGACCCTTGTGTGGTTTCTTGTTGCATCAAGCCTTCCCACTTTCCTTGTAGTGTTCACTGCCCTTTCCTGGTCATGGTACGAACAACATTTTGCATGGAGGTTGCATCGAATGTCTTTACTGGCTCTGTTGAGTTCACTACCCTTGTGAGATCACAATGCGAATTGCATCATGCTTGTACTTGCATATGCTTGTATCAAACCTTGTAAGTACCCCGTAGTGTTCAGTACCCTTGCAAAATCACGAGCCAAATCGCATCTTCGTGGCGGTTGCGTCAAACCTCTCGACTCCGTCCGTAGTGTGGTCATGCTTCGAGTGCCATCAGACTGGGTAGTTGCAACAAACCTGCCTCTCCTTCCGTACTGTAGTGCTCACAACCTTGCATGGTCATGGTACGAAAAACCTTTGCTCGACGCTTGCATCAAATGCAAAACTCCTGTGCAGCGTTGACTACCCTTGCAAGGTCATGGTGCCGGTAACATAACGCGTGAACCTTCTTCCTGTAGTGTTCGCTACCCTTCTATGGCCGTGGTTCCACTAACATCATGCCTCACGGTCGCTTCAAACCTACCTACTCCCTCTGCATTGTTCACTACCTCTGACTGGCGCATGTCGTCATGCTTCATGGTCTCCTCCCGTTCTAGTCCAGTGCTAACGACCCGGCCAGCTTTCGTTGGCTCCGCTCGCCCCTCAAGTGACGACGGTTAGGGTGATGAAGATTGAAGTTTAGAAGAAGATGAGGACGTTTCGTGATGATGATGATGATGATGATAATAATAATAATAATGATAATGATGAAGATGATGACGATGACGACGACAGTGTTAGTGATGTTAATGGTGACCGTGTCAATGATGACGGTGTTATTTTGTGATCTTTAATGTCACACCGCCTCGGCAAAGCTGGCCTGGCGGGGAGGCTGCATCCAAGCAATCAAGCAGCCCAGGACAGAAAACTGATTCACCTCAAACACAGGGCGTCGCAGGAGAAGGGTTGGGGTGGTGGAAGCACATGGAAGCACCAATACAAACTGGTCTCTGTGCCTAAGCGGATTTCTAGTTCCTGCTGCTTTGCTGCTGCTGGTTCTGCCTGTTCCTGGTCCTCCCTGCTCAGGGCTCTGCAAGAAGTGGATGCAAGTACTGGTGCCAGCTGTATGATCTGGACTGGCTGGGGCCAAAGAGGGATGCCTCCTGGCTGAGCCTGCAGCATCTGCTTTATCCAACGCTGTGCGATGCGGGCCACCTGGCTCTGCTCTTAAGATCTGAGGAGAACCTTGCCATCGATCCCGAGATCCCTCCGCACAAGGGCTACGTGTGGTTCCGGGCACCTGGACTTCAGATTACGTTGAGCTTGCAGTGGATGCACTTTGATTGTGAATGCGTTGCCGCACACATCTATCAGTCCACAAGCACTAGGCTGTAAAGCCTCACAGGGGGCTACTTGTCAGGGCAACATATCAAGATTCTTGAAATTGCTCGCGTGATCGAACAGTCCAAGGTGTTGGAGAGCTGCATGGCTGGATTGGAAGAAACCGCCAGGGTTTCATGTTTGTCCGCTACAACCACTGTGAGGGTGTGCGATAAGGGCAGGGACCATTGCAACGACAAGGGATCAAACATACGCAGACAACTCCGTTCACGTGATCCTCATGTCCAGATTGCCCAGGCACTATGCTTGCTGGGACGTCGAAGCGCGCTGTACACGTGCAGCTCCTGGAGGACAAGCTGTAGAGGATGCAGCTGTTAGCGGAAGGGTGGAATTTTGGAGAATGGCTGAATACAAGGATTTGAGGCTGCCTGCATTGTGCTTGCAGGACGGCATAGTTCCTGCATGGGGCTGAGCACGGGACAGCCTACGATTTAGATTGTTCAATTCTGTCCAGCGCGTTCAGACATACTTCTGGATGTTCTTTTGCAGACGAAGAGTGTTCAGGCATGGCTTGATCTGCGCTACCTTCAGGCTTCGCACCCCTCCTGAGAAGATGCAAATGCAACGACAGAGATCTGTGCAGGTCTGGGCAGGCGACATGCCGCTCGGGTATTTGAACCAGGCGAGCTGGCTGGTGAGAAAATAAGAGTGACAGGCATGACTGGCATGACGCATCCTGCCCCAGCCCGTCCTGAACCTCAGGTCTTCGGCGAATTGCAGGACCCGCCTTGCCGTGCACGAGTGGTTCGGACTGTCAAGGAGCGGGTCCGCCAAGCGGATTTGTTTGGTGTAGGCCAATCACCCTTGATAGGGGCGTTTTTGCAACTATGCTGTTGCAGGAGGGGACTGACGACAGGGGAGTCCGAAAGGCAGGTTCCGCAAATCCGCCTTTGCGAGGTAGATCCTGAAGGGTGACACCTGTCATGGTCAAGCTATTGTACATACCGCTTGCTTGGCATTCTGACTGATCAATCTAAGCGTGCCTTGGAAGTCCCCTGCTGATTTTTCACGAAGCCGGCGGTGCAATTTGTGCTGTGGCAGGTGCACGTCAGGAACTCTCGGAATCTCAGGCAGCAAGAAGCCACAGAGAAAATTAGTGTTTCATCCCTTCCAGTCCTTGTCTTCTTGCATTCTGGTGTCTAAGTTTCTGTGATCTTGGGATGAGATGCTGATAAGATCCCGAGGAGCAGCCTGGTCTTCGAGGATCCCTTGGTGTGTGACAGCAATGGGTTGGTGGACCTGGGCTGGGCCCTTCATGGAATTGGCTACCGGCCAGGGTCTTAGTTTGAAGCTGTGATCCATCGCAAGCAGACCCTAGACCCTAAGCCCTTAAACCTTAAAGACCCTACATATTGATTTCCAAGCTCTGACCGCCAAGGGGAGCTCGAGTCTCTCTGAGCATGTACCCAGGAGCTTGGGTCTGCGACAAAAAGAGGATTTGTGCTCTGATTGGGGAACATTGGTGACTGTCACGTCACTCTTCAATTGCATGCTGAGAGAACACACAGAGCCTGCCTGCTTGCAAAACCTCGTGCCACCGCTGCTGACATGGCTGCCATGTCTTCGAAGCAAAAGCGTGCATGATAGACTAGTGGATGTAATCCCATCCTTCTGGGAGGACGTGGTTGCATGCCGCATAAAAACCGCCAAATATTGACACGCATGGCGCATGCCACACCCCACCCTACACCAAAGCGTGTTTCCCTGACCCTGCACTGACGGGAGCTTCGTCCAGCCTGCCTTGCGCCATGACGCAGACGGAGGTTCGCCCAGCAAACATTTGCTGAACCAAGACAGAGCGTTACTCCAACTTAGTTTCAAGGAGATTCAACCTCTGGCTTGAAGTTTCAGTGAGAGTCTAACTAGCTTTAGCCTCGTTGAGCAGTTTCTCATATTTGGGGATCCGTTTATCCCCAAGATGGAGTAAGATAATGTCTTCCTTTCGGTTGTGTGATTGTGTATGAAACAGAATGCAATTTTATTTCTTGGCTCAACCACCAAGAATAATTACTCCACTCAATGCACATAGCTTGTAAGCTATCTGCAGACGACGAACTCCCTACAATGAGGAGGATCAAGGGTACACCATCCTATCCATGCATCATGCTCTCCTAGTCATAATCACTGGCTATCCCTGACTTCCGTTGAGCCTGTACCAGGAGGTTGTGACCACTTCATCGCAGCCGAAGCTGCTGGTTTGCAAGTCTATCGGCAAAATCCAAAGGTTGAAATGTTATCTCGGACATGGGCCTCTTCGGTTTTGGGTTACCCCTTGGTTTTGCTGTGTTTTTGTTTGAATTTTGGGGCCTTCGGTTTTGAGTTACCCCTTCGGTTAACAGGGTTTTGGCACGAGATAACCCGAAGACTACTCGCTGAGGTGCAGCATTTTGCCTGTCCTAAGTGGTGTAGATGTCCACATACATGTATACATCTACATATGTACATGTACATGCATATATATGCTAGCCCGTCTTTTCAAAGACCTACCTTTCAGTAATTAACAATTCCAAAATTCCAAAACTCTAAAACTTAAAATTCCAAAATTCAATAAAACACGTCATTTTTTTGAATTTTCAAAATTCCAAAGTTCCAAAAAGGAACAGACCATGCAATATGCAAAAAACAATGATTTGTTTTTTTTTTGAATGTTGGAATTTTGGAATTTCCAGAAATGAGTGTTTTTTTTTTCTCTCGGAATTTTGTGGTTTTAGAATCCTAGGTTTTGAAATTTGGAATTTTGGAATT